TTATGGGCCAACTAATATATATATACAAAAAAATTAGCCGGGCATGTGGCGAATGCCTGTAGTCCCAGCTACTTGGGCAGGCTGAGGCAGGAGGATCCCTTAAGCCCAGGAGTTTGAGGTTGCTGTGAGCTAGGACTGACGCCATGGCACTCACTCTAGCCTGGGCAATAAGTGAGACTCTGTCTCAAAAAAAAAAAAAAAAAAGGAGGAAAACAAACATGTACTTTCGGCAGCCATCATATTGACTACAGCCAAATGAAAGATACGTATGGCATTGGTGACCATCCATTAAAAACCGGGCATGGTGGTGCATGCCTGTAGTCCCAGCTACTCAGGAGGCTGAGGCAGGAGGATCACTTGAGCTCGGAAGTCTGAGGTTGCTGTGAGCTGGGATGATGCTGTGGCATTCTAACCCAGGAAACAGAGTGAGACTCTGTCTCCCAAAAAAAAAAAAGTCCAGGATTAGATGATCAGGGGGTTGGGCTACTTCAAGTTTTTATTGTCCTTAATAGAAGGACAGTGTTGGCAAAGCTTGGCAAAGTCATCTTTCCTTTTTTTTTGAGACAGTCTCACTCTGTTGCCCAGGCTATAGTGTCACGGGATCATCCTAGCTCACAGCAGTGTCAGACTCCCGGGCTCAAGTGATCCTCCTGCCTCAGCCTCCCAAGTAGCTGGGACTTCAGGCACACACCACCGTGCCCGGCTAATTTTTTCTACTTTTATTTGTCTCGCTAATTCCTGTCTATTTTTAGTACAGATGTTGCTTAGGCTGGTCTCGAACTCCTGAGCTCAAGTGATTCTCCTGCCTCAGCCAGCCTCCCAGAGTGCTAGGATTATAGGCGTGAGCCACTGTGCCTGGCCAAGGCCTTCTTTCTGTCCTGAGGTCGTGTCTGTCTGGTGACTTAGAAAAAGCTGACCCTGTATGCTGTCCTTTTTTTGGATGGCACAGGGTAAAGACTGAAACTTACATTTTTTTCTGCAGGCCTTTTAGCTTTTGTGTTATTTCTCATATTCTTAAATGTGTTGTAAAGCACATTACAATTTTTTTTTCTATCTTCTCCAGTTCTCAGTAAAATATATCATTTAAAAAAATTCCACTTGCCATTCTCAAGTTTTTCTGGTCAGAGTTTTGTGTTTTCCATTTATCCAAATACATCTCAACATAAATTGAAAAAGGGGAGAAGAAGTTCTGCTTAAGAATATTAGTGTCTTCAACCTTTGTATTGGGACAGTAATGTCCAATTAATTTTTAATGTGACGTAAAACTAGGTATCAGGTGATTTTTATTTGTGAAGTCTTTACAACATTCACATTTACCTGTTATAATCAAATATGTTCTTCCTCAGGTGTTAGCCAGAAAAGGAGTGGCAGGGACCCTTCCTTGGTTGTAGCTTTCGTCTGTAAGGTGAGAGAGCCTTTCTGGAGGGTTGTAAGTGGTCTTGGGTTGGTTGGCAATCTGTGGCTGGTACTTTTCTAGTAACTCAAAAGTAGAAGCCGCTGAGTTACCTGAGCCAAGAAGAAAATACAGATACCCAGTTTCTCAAAATGCCCCCTATATTTTTGTATCCTTTTAAATTCTCTTCTAGTGCTCTGTCAGTCTCTGGATATATTCATTTATATTTGTCTGTGGTTGGTCCTCTTGGAGTTCAGAAATTGTTGAAGGCAACTGTGTGTTGTTTCCTTTAAATCCATTTGGGCTTTATTCAGACCCTTTCAACTGTGTTTTAGTTTATTTCATTTCTCTGCAGTAGTTAAGGTCTGACATTAGATCAATTTTAATATTAGCATTCACAAGTGCACAGATCTGCAACTCTGAAATTGGTCAAACTCCATTAAAAATGTTATTATAATCTATCTATAAGATCTGACTAATGGCTTATTTTTAATAGAACTTTGCATTAAAATTGTATTGTAATATAATCTGCAACAAATACTTTTGTCTAATGTAAGAAGACTACCTTGCCCTTTGTAGGATTTGATCTTTTTCTTTTTAAGAAGTAATGTTGATTTTAAAATATATTTGGAATTTTCATCCAAATTCTAATGCTTATACGTGGAAACAGTTGTGGAGCGTCATTGGCAATATTAGTTGCAGGATCACTGCTAGTATCACATCTGTCAATTTGTTTGAATGATAATTGTGATTTATATGAAGTTAAGTACTATTGCCAATAGACTTATTATGTGTTTCTGAGTTTTTAGGCAGCAAAGTAATTTTTAAAAATAATTTATAGTTAATTTTTAATTGTATTCCTGCCTTCCTGCATAAATGACATTGGGCATGATGAAATGTGCTTTCACGTGGTGCAGGCTCACTCTTACTCTGCCAGTTGCTCTGTTTTCAGGCACCTGGTCCTGGGAGCTGCAGGCCATGACACTAAGTAGCTGTTGGCTGCACACCCGCGCTTTTCTGTCCCCTCCCTTGCTGTCTGCAGCTGCTTCTGAGGGCTGCTGTCACTGGGTCAGCCTGTAGCTCCTTTCCTCCTTCTAATTAATTGGCTGCGCTCAGCTGAGGGTTTGGAAAGCAGTAAGGCTGAGCTAGGTCAAGTTCTGGGAGGCTCTGGGCATGAGGGCCTGAGAAACTCATGTGATGGAAGAGCGTGGGCTCAGTGGCTATTGGATTGCCCGGGGCCTTGTTGGCTTGTGTTCTGGTTCTCATCCATATTCCAAATACTCTGCATTCCTCACATGGGAGCAGTTCTCCATGGGTTGAATTCAGCTCATAGAGAAATAGGTTTCCTGAGCTTTGGGTCTAAAAGTTCCTTTTAAACATTAGAAACATGTAGTTGCCATTCTCCAACTCATTTGGATGTGTGGAGAGAATGTTTGACCAAGGCAATGCTTGTTAATGTCATTATCTAAAGATGTCAGCTGAACTCGATCATCTTTGTGTGATATGCACTCACTGAAGTTGTAATCCTCTTTCCTCTAGAACAATATTTCTCCAAATGGAAAATTCTAGAATCCTGAGAATAAGACTTTGGGATACAAATTGGATTCTTGGCCCTAAAAGTAACTTCTTAACTTCAGAAAGTTAAAAGAAAATGCAAATAGTTTATCAAGATTTAAAGAAGAAAATGAAAGTCAAATATAATTCAACATTCAAAGACCAATTAACATTTTATGCCATGCCTGACTTTTTGAGGTTTTATGATAGGATTATTGTTTGCTCTTCTAACATAATAAGAGCATATTGGGAATATTGTGTTACAATTTTTCTCTATTCTAAAAGTGACAACACTATATTGCCAAATATTTGAAAAATACAGTAGAAAACAAAATCCCTTTATCCTTTCGTTACTCTGTCATTGTCATTGGAATATTGCATTATACGAAATCTGCTTGGTCATTGCTCTGTTAGTGTTCTGGTGATGTTCCTTTAGCTATAAATTGATGAGTGTAGAATGATAGGACAGTGTTTCTTCTCAAGAATACTTGAGGATACTTATTTTGAACTTTGATAAGGAAATGAGTTACATTTTGTTAAATTTATAGTGAGTTAATGTTGGAAAATAAAGCACTGTGTTTTTTAATTATTTGGGTTTTGGTACTAAAGCATTTCAAAATACATGACTTCAGAATATGGCATTAATTTTAAAAACTCAGAAAGATATAATTCTAAGAAAATTGATTAAAACCAAGCTTCTTCACTGGCTACTGAAATCCCACTTCCATTCTCTCTGTTGCAGCTTCATGTGAAGAAAGGCAGCTTCTTGGTGCTCAAAGCAAAGGAGCTGGGCCTCCCAGTGTGAGTGTCAGGGAGCATGTTGGGGACATGCCAGGTACACCTCTGTTCCTAGAGAAAACGCATCTCACGGGGGCTCACCTCTTCCTTTCAGTGGGACAGCTGCAATCGCTCCCATCATTGCTGCCGTCAAGGACGGGAAAAGTGTCACCTACGAAGGACGAGTGGTAAGATGCCTGTTTTTCTGGATGCTTCAGCAGTTACAGTTAGGGCCTGGAATGCTGGACAGAGTCACTGTCTGGTTCAGGCCCTACAGACACCACTTCTGAAGGAAATAGAACAAATTGGAATCCTGTCACTTGGCTAAGACTTGTCTTGCTAGCATTGGCTGTGTTTGGGCATTTGGACAGCAGATTGTTCATTTAGGATTTGGTGGTCCTCCTCCTAAAAAGATGGATGCTTTCCCTCATACTTGAGCTCAGGGCAGTGTCCAACAACAGACCCCAGATGAAAGGGCTTTGTGTGCATGGCCCAACGGAATGCCTGCCACCGTGTTTTCTCTGGCCTCTAAGGATGTTAGGACCAATGGTCACAGGTAGAAGAGAACCTTAAGGCCAAACCTCATTTCCTGGCCATTATAGGTTTGAAACATCTCTGCAAGATACTTGCCTGTTTAAGTATAAACAGAGAGCAGGACGGATGCAGGTGGTGATCCTTATAGTTGGTTTTGTGCTTTGTGTATCTATCTCGTGGGCTTGCTGGTAGGGACATGTAATGTTAGCGGTTGCCTTGAATGCTATGCTGTTCAGTTCTTTGCCAAGCTGTGACTCTGTTCTGGGATAATGATAGCATTGTGACCCCAGTGAGCTGACTTACTTGATTTTGCAGATTTTGCCTGAAGAGATCTGTACTCCTCCGGATCCTGGTCTTGCTTTTGTTGTGGTAGAATGTCCAGATGAAGGATTCATCCAGCCCATCTGTGAGAATGCCACCTTTAAGAGGTAATGAGGGTGCCTGGGATGGGAGAAGTGAGACGCCCAGCCCAGCATCAACATGGGCATCTTGTGGATAGAGCCTCGTCTCAGGGAAAGCCTAGGACCCCTACCTCTGGGTCAGTCCCACTGGCAGGATTTATGTGGCTGTTGGTTGTCGGTGGGCTTTGTGGTATACACAGCCTCGAAGTGAAATTAGAAAAGATTGAAAACCAGAAACCACTGAGGACTAGAAAATTAACTAAAACTCTGAGAGTTCTAAGTCTAGAATAAATTCTAGAAGTTTTCTGAGTTCTGATTAATGCTCCAAGTTATTTGGATTATTTGTATCTGAATCAATTTTTATCACTTTGCCTACATTGCAGCTAATGAGGTAGATCAGAGTGTTTGAGACCGTCTTGGTCACGAGTCTGTGATAAGGGGACATCTTTTAGGCCCGAGTGCCACTCTGTTTTGTCCTCAAAAAAGTTAACCAGCTTGCAGTTCAGCTGTAATACTGGGTAGAATCTTTTTTTTTTTTTTTTTTTTTTTTTGCGACAGAGCCTCACTCTATTGCCTGGGCTAGAGTGCCGTGGTGTCAGCCTAGCTCACAGCAACCTCAGTATTCTGGGCTCAAGCGATCCTTCTGCCTCAGCCTCCCAAGTAGCTGGGACTATAGGCTCGCACCACCATGCTCGGCTAATTTTTTCTATATGTTTTTAGTTGGCCAATTAATTTCTTTCTATTTTTAGTAGAGATGGGGTCTTGCTCTTGCTCAGGCTGGTTTCAAACTCCTGACCTCAGCGATCCTCCCACCTCGGCCTCCCAGAGTGCTAGGATTACAGGCGTGAGCCACCGTACCCAGCCGATCCTGGGTAGAATCTTTGACCCACATGTCTGTGTTTCAATTTTTTCTTTTATTATTAATGCTATATCTATGTTTTTCCTGTTCCTAATTTTTATTTATCTGTATTTTTTTACTTGTTTTATTTTACTTGCATAACAAATCTTTTTGGGATTTGTACCCTTCCAAGTAAGAGTGTTAGGAGTTCTTTCTGGGTCCATTTTATCCTTTGAGTGAATTTGGATACCTGTTGGCACAGGCTTTGTATTATAGTCAAGTTTTGGACAGCAAAGCTACTTCAAGTCACTGGCTGAGGTGTTCTTTGAGAACCGTACGTGTGTGTGATGGTGGTTGGGGGGAGGTTAGTAAAAAGAGCTACTGTCTGTCTTTTTTTTTTTTTTTTTAAGGGAACTGGAATGAAACACATCAGCGTGTTAGTACATGTGGTCTTCTCTCTAGGTGGTAGAATTTCAGATGATTTTCATTTTCCACACCCGTGTCTCAGGTCTTCTAGAAGGCAGCACTGAGGCGGCATTGGGGGTGCAGGAGATTTATTGGGGCGAACGCCTATGAGAGAGGAAGGAGAGAGGGAGCAGGAGTAGGCAGGGAGAGCCTTTGTCCAGCTGTGCAGGTCTGGCCCCCGTGAACGCAGAGGATGGTGGGAACCTGAGACTGCGGCACAGCGCTGGGAGGGCTCAGCCCGGTGCAGAGCAGAGCCTGCCCCAGGTGGAAACTGCCCGGCTCTGGGGCCCACCATGCTCAGGCGCCACAGGGGGCATCCCAGGGAGAGCATGACCTGGGCCCTGGAGGCTGGCGGCTCACTGCCGTGCACACAGAGCAGCCCTACCTAACAGCACGGTCCTGTGCATGTCCCGAGTGCAAAGATTGTGAAGCAAAGCCCCCACTGTTCCTTTCGCCCAGGTACCAAGGCGAGGCCGATGCCCCCGTGGCCCTGGTGGTTCACATGGCCCCAGAATCCGTGCTTGTGGACAGCAGGTACCAGCAGTGGATGGAGAGGTACGGAGCCCAGCCCAGCAGCACTCAGGGCACCTGCTGTGGGCGGTGATGAGTTCCCCTCGCTCCTGTCCTTTTGCTCTTTCAAGTGCCACCTCCCCTTTTGTGCCTGCCTAAATACCCTCTCGGATTCCTGCCGGCCCTGGACTCTGGGCACACACCTGTGCCACATTTGTGACAAAACCCGCCACTAGGTGGCGCAGTGCGCACGCACGTCGCACTCGCACAGGGCTTGCTCCCACATCGCTTCACACCCGCCCTCCTCTCGGCAGCTGAATAAATGCTGCCTTTTGGGTGACATGATTGAATTCCAAGATTCCACATGTGAATCCTAAAGAAGAGACTTGCAAATATGAAACAAGAGCTTCCGATCACTGAACCCGCTTCCACGTCAGGCATTATGTTCAACGCTGCATTTCTCTTCATTTCCTCAGCCTTGCTCTTCCCAGCACCCCCGTGAGGTGGCTGTTCTGCCCCAGTTTGGTACCTGGAAGGAGAGGGCACTTTATCTGTTCTTCGTGGCATCGTTGGCCAAGGCCAGCATACCTCGGTGGGGTCTGAGTCGAACCTGGGCTGCTGAGACCGTGGGCTGCTTTTCAGCCCCGCCCTGCGGCGTCCCCTGCAGCCTCTTGCTCTCCGACTGTCTCGTCTGTTGTTCCTTCGGGGTTTGGGGCTTAACATACGTTATCTATTCCCCTATTCGGTCTTTCTTCTACCCCTGCCCCATTTTGTTCCAAATCCCTATCTATAGGCCCCGAACATCTTCATTTTTCTTAGTTTTTCTACCACTCTTCCCAGCACACCCGAGAGGCAGCTGAGTAAGGTGGGAACAGTGGCCTTTGAGACAGGAGTAGGATTGGCCTTTAGTAACAATGTTTCCAGGCAAATCACTTAGCTCCGTGAACACTTCATCTGCATGTGGAATGGCAGTGACGTGGCAAATGCCTGGTCTGTCTCATCCTAGGTTCGGGCCTGACACCCAGCACTTGATCCTGAACGAGAGCTGTGCTTCGGTTCACAACCTCCGCAGCCACAAGATCCAGACGCAGCTCAGCCTCATCCACCCGGGCATCTTTCCCCAGCTCACCAGTTTCCCCTGTAAGGTAGCGTCCCGGGACGGTCCCCTGGGCCTGGCTCCTGACTCCTTTTCTTTGTCTCCATGGGATGTGTTTTGTCTTTTCAGGAAGAAGGCCCTGCCCTCCGTGTGCCCGCAGTGCGGGGCGAATGCCTCCTCAAGTACCAGCTCCGGCCCAGGAGGGAGTGGCAGAGGTCTGTGCCGTTCCGACCTGGCAGAATCCTCCGGGTCAGGGCTTGGCACACGTCTCTGTAAATGGCCATACAGAAATGTTTCAGGAGCTTTTCAGGCCACGTGGTCTCTGGGCAACTGCTCAGCTCTGCCGTGTAGCACAAAAGAACCACAGACTATACGTAAATGAATGGGCTTGGCTGTGTGCCAGGACAAATTTATTTAGAAAAACAGGCTGACCCTGGGCTGGGTTGAGGTGGGAGGATTCGGGCCAGAACTGTTTTCCATGGTAATAACAATGATAGGGTTCATTGTTTAACAACATGGAAAATAGGTGATGTATGATGAAAAAAGTCACCCATAATCCACCCACCCAGAGATAATGATTGTTAACATTTCCTGTTTTTTAATTTGTGCATATGTTTTATTTATTTATTTATTTTTCATTTTTTCTTTGTTAAAGCAATTTTTTTGGGGGGGCATATTATGTTTTAAAAATGTACAAACCCACAGGTTTATTGCCTGACGTTGTCAGCATTTTCCTATATCATTAAATAGTTTTCAGTAACAGAATTTTTATTGGTTCCAGATAGCAGTGTTTACTCACTGGGGATGTATCCAGTTTTTTTCTATTTTAATGAAACAATAAATGTCTCTTATATAAATTTTGAATGGAACTGTGTTCCCTTAAGGCAATTCCTAAATGTGGGATTTCTGGGTCAAAGGTGATACTTCTTAAGGCACTTGATAAATCTAAATTGCCATCTAGAAAGGCTCTCCTAGTACACTCCGGCCAGTAAGGTGAAAAATCTTACTGCCCCACATCTTTAATTTTTAATATCTGATCTTTGAATAATTTCAAGTTTCCTGTCCACTCCCCTCCATAGTGTCCGACTAGAGCACGTCCGGTTAGTGCTGGATGCCTGTGCTGTTGTGGTTGAGCAGCCAGGGCTCTTCAGGAGACTCTGGCAGCGTGACTCAGGCCCGCAGGAGACATCTTGGGGTTGAAGAGCCTGCTCTCCCTCTGTCAGCATCTGCACAGGCTGTTACGTAGAGCAGTGATTGAAAACCTAGTCAGTATTCAGGTTCACCTTTTCTTGGGGCGTGTTCCAGACCCACAGAGACGGAATCTTTAGAGTTAGGTTCAGGATGCACGTCCTAAGCTCCCAGGTGATTTTAGTGCTCAGCCAGGTAGAAGAGCCAGCAGTCCAAGGTGTTGCTACTCTGTGTGGTCAGGACCAGCAACACCAGCATTTTCTGGGGGTTTCTAGAGCTACAGGATCTCTACCTCAGAGTGCTGAGTTGGGGTCTGCCTTTTAACAGGTTCCCATGAGATTAGTTTTGAGAGTCACTGATCTAGGGCCCTGCTTCTCAGCTGGGGCGATTTTGCTCCCCTGGGGATATTGGGCAATGTCTGAAGACATCTCTATCGTTTTGTTGTCACAACCATGGGGGGTGGGGGTAGTGGGTGGAGGTCAGGATGCTGCACAGGACAGTCCCCAACACAACGAATTATCCTGTCCCGGGCATTGGTCATGCCTCTGGTTGTCAGGCTTTGGGGCTGAGAGGTGTCTGACAAGTTAGTTATTCAGAATACCCTCAGCTACCCCTTCCCACTTGGCAGAGAAAGGCACCAAAGGGCAACAGGACAAAACTACTCCAGGTCTTAGTCACTTAGCCTTCTATCATGATTTGAAAGAACCATCTGCAATTGTCCCCATGAATTTATTCTGTGGATCTAGACTGGCATTTGCTGAGACCACACCCCCCTTAGTCACCTGTGATGCTTCTCTCCCTGCAGGGATGCCATTATTACTTGCAATCCTGATGAATTTAAGGCCGAGGCCCTGGAGCTTCCCAATTTCCAGGCGAGTGTGCAGGAGTATAGGAGGACTGCACAGGACGGCCCAACCCCAGCAGGTGAGCGGGAGACCACGGGGCAGCCTTTCTTTCCTGGGCTCTGCCCGCTGTTAGTGTTTTCATAGCATTAAGTAGAGTGTTAACAGGCACATTCTAACCTGATTTTTAAATTTAATCTAGTTTCTCCATTCTGGCTCTACATAAGAATTATAGCCATGGGGGTGGGGGACTTGAGGGAATTTGAGAATCCCAGTGTCTGCACTCTATCCCAGACCAGCTAAATCAGAGCATTTCCTGATGGTGCCCAGACATTCTTTACAAGGCACATGCTGGGTAAAATAGTTCGGGGAACACAGGTGAGACCCTGTGGAAAGAGCTTTGAGTAGGGACTTGCTGACTTGGGATCTGGTCCTGGCTTTGCTAGTAAGTATCTGTGGAAGATTTTGGCCAAGTCACACCTTGTTGGGTTTTCATTGCCCCATCAGAAAAAGTAGTTAGGGCACTTGTGACCTGTGCTCTTGTTGCTGGTTTTTCTAGTATTATTTTTTACTGGTGACATAAATAGCAAGAGAACACTGGAATAGAAGGTGGGTTAGGGGATTCAATCTAGCCCAGTGAGCTTTCACCAGACTTGCATCTTTCTGTGGAAGTTAGAATCAGACAAGCCACAGAGGGGACTAAATCCTCACCTTCCCTTGTAATAGCCTTTTCTGTTGTGTGTTTGGGAAGAGTTAGTTCCTAGGAGTTATTCCTTTCTGTTTGGTTGCTTTTATGATGTGTATGTTAAAGGTCAGGTAGACCGTGAGATGCTTACAAACATGCACATGGGCCCTCTCAGGCTGGATGAGGCCAAGGAAGGGGCACAGGCTTCAGAATCATCTGGTTTCCATGGATCTGAATCTTCTATGCAGACTGGCTCTGAGCCAGTTTCCTTCCCTGTAAAGCAGAGCATGTCCTACCTGGTAGAGTTGTGAGGACGCACGTGAAGCACATGGTTTTTTTTTTTTTTTTTTGAGACAGAGTCTCGCTTTGCTGCCCAGGCTAGAGTGAGTGCCGTGGCGTCAGCCTAGCTCACAGCAACCTCAAACTCCTGGGCTCAAGCAATCCTGCTGCCTCAGCCTCCCGAGTAGCTGGGACTACAAGCATGTGCCACTATGCCCGGCTAATTTTTTCTATATATATATATATTAGTTGGCCAATTAATTTCTTTCTATTTATGGTAGAGACAGGGTCTTGCTCTTGCTCAGGCTGGTTTCGAACTCCTGACCTCGAGCAATCCGCCCGCCTCGGCCTCCCAGAGTGCTAGGATTACAGGCGTGAGCCACCGCGCCCGGCCAAGCACATGGTCTTGAAGTGAGAGCTGGATGCAAGGAAGTGCCACTCCCTTGAAGTGAATGATTCATAGCATAAAGAAGTCCCTTTTTTAATTTAAAAGAATTAGAGCAATTCTTTTGAAGAAAGAACTATAGAATTTATTTGTTCTCTGACGGGGGAAGTCCTGTGCCTAAGGTCTGTCGCCAGGGGCCTGCCGGCCCCCTCCCGGGAGTCTGGGCTTAACCGTATTGCTTACCCACCTGTCTTAGTCCATTCTGTATTGCTATAAAAGAATACTTGAGACTGTGTAATTTATAAAGAAAAGAGGGTTATTTAGTTCATGACTCTGCAGGCTGAGAAGTTCAAGGTCATGGCCATGGCTTCTTGTGCTGTGTGACAATATAACAGAGAGGGTCAAAAGGGAAGTGGACATGTGTGAAGAGGGGAGAACCGGAGTGGTGTCCTGGCCTTGTAACAACCCCACTCTCTTGGGAACTAATCTATTTCCTCAAGAACTGATCCAGTCTCCAAGGTGGGAGGATTACTTGAGTCTAGGAGTTCAAGACTGGCCTGGGCAACATGGAGAGACCCCCGAGACCCCCGTCTCTACAAAAAATTTAAAAATTAGCCAGGCATAGTGGCTTCTTCCTGTAGTTCCAGCTACTCTGGAGGCTGAGACGGGAGGATTGCTTGAGCCCAGGAGTTTGAGGTTACAGTGAGTTGTGATCAGGCTACTGCACTCCAGCCTTGGCAATGGAGCAAAGCCCTGTCTCTTAAAAAAAAAAAAAGAAGAAGAAGAAGAACTGATCCAGTCTCAGAGTTAGTCCTTACTTCTGTGGGTATGGCACCAAGCCATATCCAAACTGTAGCACCATCTTATGGCTGAGTGCTGGCTCACATTTGACCCAAAGAAATGGACTATTTTACATGTGTTTTTCCACAGAAAAAAGTCAGTATCCAGAAATTATCTTCCTCGGAACAGGGTCTGCCATCCCAATGAAGATTCGAAACGTCAGCTCCACACTTGTCAACATAAGGTATTGCTGCTTTGTCAGAAAAGGCCTGCTCCACCCACCAGCCTAATTTGTAAACAATACAAAGCCTTGCAAGCTTGTCATCTTGGCTAGAGTGTCCCAGAGAGGAGTGATGGGCCTTATTCCATTTTATAGCCTTAATAGGTAACTTTCCTTCAAATTTTATCCCATTATGTCTTTTAATAAAAATAGCTGACAAGTCAGTGAGGAGTTGGGGGGTGGGGAAGGAAAAATATAGTTGATACTACCGTGTGCTACGCACATTGCTAAGAAACTCTCTGGCTTAATTTTCACATTCATCCTAAGAAGTAGTGAGTATCCATTTCATTGATTGGTAAACCAAAGCTCAGAGAGGTTACTCTACTTCCTGCAGCTGGTAAGTAAGGGTTCTGAAATTTGAAATGGTGTCCTAATTGCTACATGTATGTATTGTCCCTCTAGTTATTGCTGGTATGTTAAAAAGCTTTTGGGTTTTGTGTATTTTTTTGTGTTCAGCCTCTATTGGACTCCCCTACACAGGTTTTTTAGTTGATTCTCTTGGGTTTGCCAGGGGTCATTTATCTGTAGAAAGACTAATCAATCACAGGTATTGTGCAATGTGCATACGTTGTGATGGGTCTGTGAAAGAAATAGGGTTGTGAAGTACCTGGTTAGTTTTTATATTTTGCTTTGTCATCTCAGATGCTGGCAGTGGGTGCTAAACCAGATAACACATTAGATGTACACAGCAATGAGAAGATGTTATCCTGACATCAGAAGTAGACAAATCTAGGGCACGTGTCACTTGTGACTGAGGAGATGCAGTAGAGAGCTCAGAATGAGCTGGCCTTAGGAAGAAGGGCTGCTCTGCTTGCAGTCCCAGTACGCTGCAGGTGGCCGTGAGCCTGCTAGAGTTGATGGGAGGTAGTTACGTTGCCAGCCTGCCTCCCACTCCAGCTTTTCCCTGGAAGGTGGTGTCTTCGTTCTGAGGCTTCTCACCACAAAAGGGTGCAGCCCTCCCATCCTTCACGGCTCCCCTCAGAGAAGGAAAAAGGACAGAGGGGACACCATTCTCTGCACCTTAGGGCAGAGCTTCTGAGGCGGACTGCACAGAAACTCCAGCTGCCAGCAAAGGGGGGGACTCGCGTGGCAGCTGGAGCTGGAACAATCTCATATGCACACGGTGCTTGTCTCTGGTTTTCTCAGCAGAGGGTGTTGCCACATTCAGTCTGCATAATCATGGTTAATGTTTATGGGTAAAATGTTAGGGTAGAATGTTTTTATCCTCCATTCCCCAAAAGGTTTTTTTTCCTTAAATGCCCAGCATTTGTGTAAGTTTGTATGCTTTAAAGGGCTTCAGAGTTCCATGGATAATTCTTTGATATAAAGAGGATGGACATGTAAAATTGCCTTTATGGTTAAATTAATTGGCTTATCTATAAGCCCCTTACAGGAAAGGCATGAGGAGTATGGCAGGCGAGGGAGTGCCCACAGCTGCTTCCTGCGCTCCTCTAAACCGCCAGCGGCCACTCCTGTGTTGTGAACCTCTCGCTCTTCCTCTGTAGCTCCGACAAGTCTCTGCTCCTGGACTGTGGCGAGGGCACGTTTGGGCAGCTGTGCCGTCATTACGGAGAGCAGGTGGACAGGGTCCTGGGCACCCTGGCTGCTGTGTTTGTGTCCCACCTGCACGCAGATCACCACACGGTGAGTGGCAGGCGGGACCACAGAACTCACTTTGCCGCCGCCCTTTCCTCCTGTTCCCAAACTTGCCCAGAGCTTGTTAGTCATCTCTTGCTAGGAGATGGTCTTCTACACAACCCAACACTGTCCTTCCGCTCAGTAAGAATGTCTCGTCTTCCCGTCTGCCTTGTTTCCTGCGGCAGGACGGGTTTGGAGTTCACTCAGCCTTGCTTGAATCGTGCCTCCCCACGCAGCCTGCTCAGAGGAAGGCCGGCCATGGAGCTTGGCTGTGTCTCCGGGGCGCTGGGTCCCCGGCATGGCCCTCTCTTTCTAGCACAGCTGCACTGCCGCTGCCCGTGACATCTCAGGTCGTGGGTCAGATGCGTGGTGCCCCCCTGCAGCTATCTGTGTTGGGGGGTTGGCGACTGACACAGGACTGCAGAACCCTAACAAGGGGGAGAAACTGAGTTGAGACCAGGCTAATCCATGTCTCCTGTTTCCTCACAGGGCTTGTTAAATATCTTGCTGCAGAGAGAACGAGCTTTGGTAAGAGCAGAACTTGTGCCATATTGGCGTTTTGGGTTTTGCTGGTTTACACATAATCGGCCACGCCTCTTGCCACTGCAGACTGTGTTTACGGAAGCGTTCTGCTGTTGACCTGGCTTTTGTTGTCGCAGGCGTCTCTGGGAAAGCCACTTCACCCGCTGCTGGTGGTCGCCCCCACGCAGCTCAAGCCCTGGCTGCAGCAGTACCACAACCAGTGCCAGGCGCTCCTGCATCACGTCAGGTGGGCGGCCCCTCCACCCAGGCCCCCTCCAGAGCTCCGGGTGACACTGGGCAGTTAATGCTACCCCAGCAGCCTCGCCTTGGCTTTGTTCCAGGGGGCAGAAGCAGGGGAGAGGGCTTTGGCTTGGGGGCAGGAACCATGAAATGGTTCCCACTTAGTTTGTTCCTTTGAAGCATTTCTTGTTTTTTTGGTTTTTTTTGAGACAGAGTCTCACTCTGTTGCCCAGGCTAGAGTGCCGTGGCGTCAGCCTAGCTCACAGCAACCTCAAACTCCTGGGCTCAAGCAATCTTCCTGCCTCAGCCTCCCGAGTAGCTGGGACTACAGGCATGTGCCACAATGCTCGGCTTTTTTTTCTATATATATTTTAGTTGGCCAATTAATTTCTTCCTATTTTTAGTAGAGATGGGGTCTCACTCTTGCTCAGGCTGGTTTCGAACGCCTGAGCTTGAGTGATCCTCCCACCTCGGCCTCCCAGAGTGCTAGGATTACAGGTGTGAGCCACCGTGCCTGGCTCATTTCTCTTTGAGATGGTTCCGGGGCCAAGTACCAGAACAGTGGCTGGTCCAGAGGTCACACCATGCAGGTGGCCGGCTGGGAGTTGGCCCTGTCCTCATTTCAAAGGGAAGGAGTCCCATTTGCCTGAAGTCATCTGTGGCATGTGTTGCCCGGGCCAGGGGCAGCATTCACCTGTTAGATTTCCTACAGTGGCCTGGGGGATGTGCTTTGGCCCTTTCTGTCTGACAGCTGTTTCCCCTCTTAGTGACTGTGGTTTAAATCATGTTTCTTCATAAGAATGATTTTTGGGGCTCTCTAGTCAAAGGCTTGAACTTTGACTCTAGGTGTTGAATGTTTTGTAGTTTTTTTTATCCCTGCGTATGTGATCTGCAGGAATGTGGTGATTTTTTTAAATGTTTATTATGATTTTAAATGTTTTGTCTTTTCCTAGTATGATTCCTGCCAAATTCCTTCAGAAAGGGGCTGAGGTCTCCGATCCCACAGTTGAAAGACTGATCAGTTCGCTGCTGGACAAGTGTGATCTGCAAGAGGTAGGGCCCAGCCTCAGGCACGGAGGGGCCAGGTGGCGGGCAGAGCCGCAGCCCTGCAGCCCTGCCCTCTCAGTTTCAGACCTGCCTGGTGCGGCACTGCAAGCACGCCTTCGGCTGCGCGCTGGTGCACACGTCCGGCTGGAAGGTGGTGTACTCGGGGGACACCATGCCCTGCGAGGCTCTGGTCCGGATGGGTGAGTAGAAGAAGACTGAGCCTCACTGAGGTTGCTCCAGGGTTCACGCAGCTGGAGGTGAACGTAGAGGAGCTTGGAGGGAAACGTCAGCAGAGGCAGCAGCCTGGGGCCCCACCCTGATGGTTTCTGGCTGTTGCAACAGGCAGACAGGTCACAGGGCCAGGGGAGCCGAGTGTGGGGACCAGGAACAGCTGTGTGACACCGAGGCATGTGCTGCTCTTGGAGGGGACTCTGCCTTGATGCCTGTGCTGCTTTTCCAGGGAAAGACGCCACCCTCCTGATACACGAGGCCACCCTGGAAGACGGCCTAGAAGAGGAGGCAGTGGAAAAGACGCACAGGTAGCAAAGGCCGCTCAGTCTTGGCCTCGCCCCTCTCCCTCCCTCAAGTGAAACGCCGAGCAGCCTGCGTCTGCCCCTTGGGGAGGCCTGTGCTCTCCACTCACACGGGGCTGCCCTGCTGCCCACCAAGGGCTGGGGCGCTTCCTAAACCTCTCGGTAGTGTTCCCTGGGCCCTCTGCCTTTATTTTGCAGAGTTCTCTAGACAGGGTTGTAGAGTGAGGCACGGTTTCTTTTTCTTCTTTTTTTTTGAGACAGAATCTTGTTCCATCACCCGGGCTAGAGTAGAGTGCTGTGGCGTCAGCCTAGCTCACAGCAACCTCAAACTCCTGGGCTCAAGTGATCCTCCTGCCTCAGCCTCCCCAGTAGCTGGGACTACAGGAGTGCACCACCACACGGGCTAAAGTTTTCTATTTTTAGTAGAGATGGGGTCTCGCTCTTGCTCAGTCTGGTCTCGAACTCCTGACCTCAAGCGATCTTCCCACCTCGGCCTCCCAGAGTCCTAGGATTATCAGCATGTGCTACCACGCCCAGCCAGGCACGGTTTTTTTGAAAGAATTAGAAACAGGCCGGAATAAAGCATAAGGGATGAGGGAATTGCCCGGGGAGGGTGGGGGCTGGGGACTGAACCTTGGGCTGTTATTTCAACACAAGAGCACGTTACCCCAAGTAGGCCCCTGCTTTCCCTCGGGTCCCCTCTGCAACAGTTTGGAGCCAACACAGCGGGTGGGCTTCGTTCAGGGGAGTGTGTGAAGGATCTGGCCCTAAGCAGAGATGTGTTGGCTAAAAGCTGCCAGTGAGGGAAACCCACCAGCCTCCCTGGGTGCCCCAGCAGTTGCGGGCCGGAGTGTGTGCGGCTCCGAGTCCTGTGCTGTGTCCGTCCTTTGCAGCACGACCTCCCAAGCCATCGGCGTGGGCATGCGCATGAACGCGGAGTTCATCATGCTGAACCACTTCAGCCAGCGTTACGCCAAGATCCCGCTCTTCAGCCCCGAATTCAACGAGAAAGTTGGAATTGCCTTTGACCACATGAAGGTGTGTGTCAGGTGGGCAGTGGGGGTGGGGACGGGGCAGAGAGGGGACTTTACACACGGTTGGGATGGTCGTTTGGAGTCTCCTTCCTGGCTCGGGCCGCTCAGGGGAGAGTCATAGCCAGCACCGGGTTTGGTGGCGAGACCCTCTGCAGGGGCCGTCTGGACATCAGCCTCCGCTTCACTGGAAGCTTTTGAGAGTCTCTTTTCAGCTTGGACCATTCAGTCGTGATATTTGAGCCTCAGCACAGACCTGAGACGGGTGCTGGCCTCACCCATGGGCAAGCCAAGCCGGCCCCTCCCGCCTCTAGGATGAGGGGCAGGGCGGAGCCAGGCCTTGTTTCTCAGGAGCTGTACTTTCAGAGTTCGGACGGCCTTCGCTCCCCGTTCCTGAGGCCCGTTCGGTCTCGCCACCCTCAGCCAGGCGTGGGGAGTCTCTGCCCCTTTCTTTGGGTGGCTCTCACTCCCGCCGAGGCCTAAGGTCTTTTCTAGGCCGTGATCAGTGGGCCTGAGGGTCTGTAAGGGACTTGGTGCCGCCAGCCCCTCCCCTGCCCCTCTGAGGCGTGTCCTTGTCCCCCCCTTGCGCTCTAGGTCTGCTTCGGAGACTTCCCCACAGTGCCCAAGCTGATCCCCCCGCTGAAAGCCCTGTTTGCCGGCGACATCGAGGAGATGGAGGAGCGCAGGGAGAAGCGGGAGCTGCGGCTGGTGCGGGCGGCCCTCCTCTCCCGGGAGCTGGCAGGGGGCGCTGAGGACAGGGAGCCCCAGCAGAAACGGACCCACACCGAGGAGCCGCGGAGCCCACAGAGCAAGAAGGTCAGAGCCCAGTGAAGATCCGGGAGTGATCCGAGCTCTGAAGCTGCGTCTTCTGCCCTGCGCCGGCACCGCAACTGCTTTCCTCGCCTGGCGGGGGCTGGGGAGCACGGCCCACCAGGAGGCTGCTCGGCCCCTGGATAAGCCCTAGTCTGTAGGTGCCTCCTGTGACGGCACCCGGCACAGCTGTGTGACACGAGGTGCTGGACAGAAGAAAGCACGTGTGGCTAATTCCGTTGCAAGTTGGTTTTTAAAGAAGTCACGGCAGCTTCAGCAGGCAGCACCCCTCACCTGCTCCACAGCGATGCCCTCTGCACGCCAGAGAGAAGCCAGATGACAGGGAACAGTGGGTCTGAGTGTCCAAGACTCAAGGAATAATGCTTCCAAAAAAACAGCCACAATAAAGATTGAGTTTGGAACCCTGAGTTCTCTTGCTCCATCCTAGTGCTGCCTTGGAGGGCTCTCTGTGCCGCGGCATCACGCTGCCGGGGACCCAGTGTGCCCTGAAGTCGGCTCTGACCGCAGCAAGGACCTTTGGAGCCTGTCCTCAGGGAGCCGCGCCTGCTAGCTGAGGCTTCTGGCGGGAGTCAGGCTGTGCTGGCCCCAGCAGCAGGGTCGCGGCTGCACCCTCCGGTGGTGGGAGCCCGGGCGGGCCAGTGCAGCCGGTCAGGGACACACAAGTCTTCCTGCTCTGGGTAAAAGTGGAAACAACAGATTTGCTCTCTCTTGCCCTAAATGAGAATAAGGATTACTCTTTGCTGTTGAAAGTTTTGAGAAATGTCACATTGGGCTGGTTCCCTTGCTCTCCTTGTGGGATTTGCAAACACAAGTTAGTGCTTGAAAAATCAAGAGAAAAATTCTCAAAGTTGAACCTAGTATTTATTTGTGTATTCTCCCTACCCAGGAGAATGCGACAAGAGCAACAGACCAAGGACTTGCCTTCCCTAGTGGTGACCCTCGGGCGCCCTCCTGCTGCACCGCGTGAGATTGATAGCCGTGTCCCCACGGATTTATTATTAAAACGAGAACATATGCCAAGCTCAGGGATAATAAATCTATTTTAATAACATTACTTTTGACAACAATTTGTACATGTATTTAAAGATAACTTTCACCTCCCCCCCCACTCTATTACAAATCGAGGATTGAACTGCCCTTGCCAGGAAGTGAGCAAAGCCATAACGTCAAAAGTCTGCAGATCCCACTCACTCTCAGAAGGGTGGCTTTACACTGTGTTGGGAAAAATAACTAAGCATTTAAATTTTTCATTGTACACCTGTACATTGGTTTAGATTGAATGGCTCAAATTAAACAAATATAGAGAGATTTCATATATACAAATATTATATCATATATAGGTATATTATATCTATTTTAAAAGGATAAAATTTTAAACTTTGACTTTGCATGCATGGCCCACCTCTTTCCTCACTCCCTTGACCCCCAAGCGTGGAGAGGCTCCCCAGTGCCGTCCCGGCGCTCGTCCTGGGACCAGGTGGGACTCAGGAGGAGGGAGGAGCGGCAGAGGCCGGCGAGCAAAGCAGGCCACACGCAGGCTGAGCGCGTGGGCCGGTGGCTCCGTGGCTGGTTTCACTTTCCTCTACATGCTTTGGGTAACAGAATTATTGCTATTCAGTTGTAACCTCAGACAGAAGAGGTGGGCTCCAGGACCTCACACACTAGTGCAGGCGTCCTCAAACTTCGGCCCGCATGTGGCTGCCTAGCACGTTTACCTGGTCCTGGAGTTTTTGCCGCCGCTGCCTGTCCTGCTTAGCAGCCGACTCGTGCCCGGCCCACAGCGCGCACTCTCCAACGGTCTGAGGGACAGTGAACTGGCCCCCTGTTTAAAAAGTTTGAGGACCCCTGCACTAGCACCTCTAGGTGCGCGGAGGGGTAGAATTACTCTCAGTTAATGTTTTGGGAGCGATGGGGGCTACCTTCAAGATATCATCAAGACCGTGTTTTACATTCGAAAGTATAAAGTGACAGGGAGTAATGGCAGCTTTCAGCCACATGGTGGGGAAAAAGAAAACTGTTAGGAAATGAAGCAAACTTTGTTTTACGCCATTTGCTTTGGAGCACACTGGTTGGGGGCTGCCTGAAAGGCTCCGCAGTGCGAGCCCTCCCCCGGGGAGCTGCAACAGTCAGTGCCCCAGGACCGCCAGAACCGGACCTAGTCCCGTTGTCAGTGCAAGGTCCTTGCTGTCCTGTTTCCTTTCTGTAGCCATTGAGCAGACAGCGCAGGCCCTGGCATCAGCTGTCCGAGGAAAGCAGCAGCCCTCGGGTCTAACCAGGGCAACTCGACCCTCTTCTGCACCACCCCTCCCTGCAGGTGACGTTTCTGACAAACCCTTGGGTGCAGAGGTGGGTGCTGCTGGGGCACGGAGGCTGAAAGTAGACCAAAATAGGCACAAAGTCAAAAGGCAAAGGTCAAAACAAAGGCCAAAGTCGCCACCCGAAAGGAAAAAAAACAAAATCTGCACCACCAGCATTGCCACACAGACCAGAGACCACGGTTTTCTGCCAAACCCCAACCTCGCGTTGGCAGTGACAGGGAAGAGCCAACGGAGAGCACTTGGCAAGCTCGGGGACGCTGCTCCTGGCGGCGTGTCTGGGGCCCACGCGTGTATGTACAGGGTGTGGGGTGGGCGGGAACGTGTCAGAGCGCGGTGCTCTCGGACTCCTCCTCGTTCCTCTTGTCAGTCACTGAGTGTCGCTGCGCGCGGTCCTGGGGACTCAGGCGGAGCGTGGACCCGAGCTCTATGTGGATCGAAGGGATGTCAAAGTGGACGAGATCTGCAAGTGGGCGGGAGAGAAGTCGTTAAGGAGGCTTCCGGCTGGACAAGTATGGCGAGCCTCAGAAAGCAGCAGGGGGGGAGTTACTCTAGGGATGGGTCACTTGGAGGTTGGTTTAATCGCTTTGCTGCGTGATCAGGTGTGGCGGGGCCTGCTTAGCTTCTCCCTCATGAGCCTGCAGTACCTGAGCATCCAGGACGTGCCGCAGCGGGTCAGAGGGGAAGGCTAGAACAGCGCTGCCCCGCTAGGCCACCCGGTGCTCGGCTCTTGAGAAGGGTGCTCTCGGGGCAGGTCTTCGTGACATCATTTTTGGGGATCTGTATCAGACTGCATTTGTCCCCTAGAGTCTACAGGGACAGGGCCTGAGTAGAAAAATGCTCGCTGCTTCTCCCAAATCCATGAATGGGGGGGGGCACCCTGCACCTGTGTCCTCACTTGGACACAGTGACTTTGAGGGTGGCTGGTGGAGGCAGAGCAGAGGGCCTCCCCCAGGACTCTGGTAGGCACAGCAGCAAACTGTCATTCCCTGACGCAGGGACAACCCCACCTCTGGTCACATCCTTATTGGAAGCACTCAGAGGTCATTCTTCCTGGTGAGACAGTCAGGAAGGATGTACCTGGAGTGACAGGGCTCAGCGGGGACATGCGTGAGTCGGCAAAGGAGACAGGAGTCCTCAGAGCCAGCAGCGGCTCAGTATGTGCAAGGCCCCCATTGGACACTCACACTGGAAATGGCCCTGGGGCCGCAGCCACTGCCCTGGCGGATGCTGGTGAGGCCGAGCCTGCTGCTCTGGGGGCTGCAGGAGCGAACTGGCACGTGCGGGAGCCAGAGAGGCACAGACCCTGGGGTCCTTTCCCCCGTCACGCTGTCTCCCCAACTCTGCCTGCTGGCTTCTGCTCTTCGCCTAGCCTGCTGTCAGCCTGGGCTGCAGCAGCACTTGGGGTGATACAGGCAGTGAACCCAGCGGGAGAGCAGCCCTGGACCGCCCTCGGGAGGTGGGGTTTCTGTTTGCTTTTTGTAAGACACGTGTTCAGACTGAGGAATACCACACTGCGTGTACAGACAGACACTCGGACACTGCCCTAAAAGACATCATACAAACATGGAAGCTCTGGACAAGGTCCTCCTCCCTCACCCCACTCCCACCCCACAGAGAGTCCTCTAAATGTCACCCAGCCTGTCTTTGTGTCGCTGCCTGGTGGAGGAGGAGAGATCTGGTGGTGGTGGGGGTGGGCACTGAGGCTTGCTAGGTTCACCTGCTTTTCCTGCAGCAGGTGGCTCTTCTGCCTCCCAGGGTGTCCGCGGGCCCCGACATCCTGCCTCTGCTCTCCCCTCGCTGCCTGGCCCCTCCGCACGCACAGGTGTGAGGCTGCACTGGCCTGTGGCCGGCACGTGGGGGCTCACCATCAGGTAAGCACAAGCTCCACTGCTTGCTTTCAAAATCTCAAATCTGTCACGCAGTAGATGTGTGACCTTGGACAAGTTTCTGACCTTCCCTGCACCTCAGCAGTCAGATGGGAATAGTCAGGGTGACGAGTTTAGACATGCCCGAGACAGGCCCTGGATGTGAGCTGCCGTACCCTTATCCAGACCCCTGAGGGAGAAGAGCCACTTAGCAAGGGAACAGGGCTGGGGGAGAAGCCCAAACCAGCACTCCTGGGGGCAGGGAAGCTGTGACTTCCGGTTTCCAGGCCACTCTGCCAGGAGACCTGCCCGAGGCTCTGCAGGATCATGGGCCAAAATGGGGGGAAACCCCGGTTTACTGTGGCCATTCCTCCTTACTGAGGCAGATACACCTAATTCCTTTCTGCTTCCCTCATGTTCTTGCCTTGGCTTTAGTTTTGAGCGTCTACTCTCTGGAGAAGGAGGAGACCTAGCAGATACCGATACAAATGCTCCAAGATACTCTGTTGCACCGGAGAGAGAGGATCCGGCTGGCCAGCACCGCGGGGTGGGGAGAGGGGCTCGGGCTGAGTTCTAACACTACAGATGCTTCAGGATTTGCCCGCGCACTCAACCTGGGGACCCCTTCCTAAGCGAAGGTGTGCAGGTGAACGTCCCAGGGCACTGGGCACAAAAGACTCCCCCAGATCCGTTATATGAGGGACAGATCTGTCACCCTCCACATCCTGCACCCGAGGAGAGAGGAGGCACGGCAAGGAGGTGACGCTAGCGAAAGAGAAGGTGGGGCACAGGACAGCTAAGCTGCTGGCTGCTCTCTCCCCAGCTCCTCCTGTGCAGAGACAGAGGGAAAGGCCAGCGACCCCTCAGAGCCAGGTGAGCCACGGATCGGCTCCTCCTTGCTGAGTCGGGGGCTGGAGGGCGAAGCAGCCATGCGGACGGCCGAGCCACATGCAGAGGCGGGGGCCGAGGGAGGAGCGGGCGGCGGCTGGCCTGGCTACGGGGCGGAGGGGGCGAGGCTGGGGCCAGCTTACCCTGCAAATCCCCCTCACACGTATCCAAAACTGCGCCACTCATGTCACACAGCTGCAAGAACACAATGACAGGATTCGGAGAAAGGTATCAACACGACAAAACAAGAACGTCACAAAGAAAAAAACTATGCCGATATCACAGTCCCAGGTGGGGCCACACCAAACCATTGTGGAGTCTACACTGGCTCAGGCCTGTGTGGATGGGACGAGACAACAGTCTGCTGGCAAAAGGACATTGAAACAAAACAGCGTCTGCAGAGGGCAAGGGGCATTGTTAACTCCACGGGTCAGGGTTCTCAGACTGTGAGGTGGGGGGCCGGTGGTTCCATTTCGTGTCGGGGCGCTGTGCTCTATACCTTCTCTTGCCCACTCTGCTCCCCAATTTCTCCTCCCATTCCACTCTTTATTGCCTCTCCTGAGTGCTGTCCCCTGCTCGTTCTATTGCTTGCAGTGTGGACACTATGCCGTGTCCCTCCCTGGGGGCGGCTGGATGGGAGAAGCAGCCCCCAGGGCTGCCTTGGGTGACCACGGGCGCTCAGGCAGGTTCCCTCCTCCAGGCCTGTGTCCCCACCACGGCCCTTCAGGACACATGCGTCACCACCAAGAACCGGGGGCGGGGGGAGGATGCTCACTGCCATTTTTCCTAGAGGAATTTCCTTAATTGTTAATAAGCCTCAGAGCGATGACAGCAGTGGCACATTCAACATTAATCACAACCAAATATAAAGACGCCAAACCGCCAGATGGCTCCTCCCCATAATATTGAAACCTGACCCATCGCAAACACTTGCAAACGTGACTAGCCTTTCATAGGCAGCCAGGAGCCGGGCCCCACAGGCTCCCGTCTAACCGAAGGAAAAAGAAACTACTCTTTTGGAGAAGGACATGCGGGAAAACGTGCAATATCCGTGAGAAGTCCCCGTGCACCCTCGGGCCTAGGGACAGCGTTGTTTTTTGAAAGTGTGTGTCGGTGCGGGGGCGTGCGTGTGTGTGTGGGGTGTGTGTTTATTCCAACCCAAGCTGCCTCACCTTCTGCTACTTGGGACCACACGGAGCAGACATATGCTCAGGCTCCCTGCCCTGCAGGCAATGGCTGGCGCTGCTCCAAGGCACGGCCCCGCACTCTGCCCGTCTCCCCGCACTCTGCCTGTCTCCCCGAACCAGAAAAACGCTCACGTGACTTCAGCAGCCACCGCAAACATGCCCCCGGCTTTATGATCTTAAGTGGTTTGAAGTGTCTGGGGAGACGTTTCAAAAACATCCCGTTTCTTCCAGCCAGTCAATGGTTTTGGCTGAGTGTGGTGTGCGTTCCTGATTTCATGCCTATGCGATTTTCTGCGGGAAGACAGCTCCGCCTTTGTTTTTAAATTTAAATCAAAATAAAATTAAGTAGTTGAGGGTTTGTCCAATTAGCTCCTCGAAGAACAGGTGGAAGAGGGGGCAGCTTGGGGTAGGGACGTGCATCTTTTCTGAGATGGACCCCTCTCTCTATATCTCGAAATATATTTTTCTAGCAAGGCTTATGTTACTAATGGGAAAAAATATCTTTGGTTCCTAGCCCGTTCTCCAGATAAGCATCTGTACCCACCAGTTCCTGGGGCTCTCTCCAGGGAATATCCCGCCTGAGTTTTCTGATGCCATTCTGTTACCATAACCTGCTTCAGGCCTCCCCCAAAGAAAGGTCTGCTCCAGAGGACCCTGGGTGCTCAAGCCCAAACAGGAAGAGCAGAAATAGACCCCTGGGCTGGCGGGCTCGGCCTGGGAGAAATGGCTTAGGAGCCCCTCTGCCGGACCACCGGAGTCCAGGGCTGCTTTCCCCCGTGGGCCTCTGCGACCCTCTCGCAAGCCCCGCACGGCGCCAGCACAGCCAGCTCGTGGCGCCCGGGAATTTGTTCCCTGGCAGTGGCGCTGACGACCCCTCCCATCCGGGCACATTTCACTACGGTCACAGAGGGAGCCCGCGGCTTGGTTACCTGTAGACATGCTTTCCCCAGGGGACACGCCGTCCAGCAGGGGGGGCTCCGCGGACTGGGGGCTAGAGGCTGAGAGGTTGACCGTGGGAGGCTGAGGCGGCGGCAGGGTAGGTCTCTGTCGGGGCTTGGGGGTGGGCCGAGATTTGGTCAAAGTGCTTGTGAAGACAGAAGGAGAGGCCAGGGGAGGGGCGGCGGCCGGGGACAGCTGGCCCGAGGCCAAGGAGTACCCCTGGGGGTAGCTCAGTCCGTAGGGCGACGGGGTGCTTGGGGGGGTGGGAGACAGGCTGACCGGGGACGGCTGGCCCGTGCACTGGTCAGCCACAGCCCCCGGCTGGCCAAAGGGGGCCTTGGGTGGAATCGGTGCCAACTTCTTTGAAACTGAAAGAGAAAACACAACAACAAAGCACAGCGTTGTTAAACGAAGCCCACCCGTGTGGCCTGTTCACACACCCTCAGGGATCATAGTTGTCGCCAGCCCCTACCTCGCCGTCCACCCACGCCTCCCTGCCCCCCGCCGTTCACCACGCTGAGAGCGGCCAATTTTTAAAAATTAACCCAGAACTGCAAGTCTTCACATCTTTCCATCTGTTAACTAATTTCTCCTCCTGTCTTCTGGCTCCCTGCCCTGATCTACACCCGCACAACCAGCCAAACCGGAGAGCACGTTCCCATGCACTAGCACGGGCTGTTTTCCCCGTGGTGAAGGCACCGAGGCTGCACTCTGGGGAGGAGTGAGTCGGTGAGGCCAGCTCCAACAGAGGCGGACCATGTATGTAAGGCACCACACGATCACGACTTATAGGAGCTGCAGGAGACCCTGGGTACTGATGCCTGGACACGCCTGCTCAGGAAGGAGCTGGAGGAGAGGGCATAGTGACACTCCCCTTTCCACGTCCAGGTGGTGACAGGACTAGGCCATGATGTTAAATTGTAGACACACTGTCAAAAAACAGGTGTTAAAAATAAAAACAAAAAACAACCAGCTAAGTGTGCCGTTTGTGGGGCATGAATGGGGAGAGAGTCGGAAAGACAGTTACACCTTTGAAAAGATGGCTCTGAACTACTGAAGGTCACTTCGGAAAGGGACCTGGGTCACTCAGGGCCACAGGGCCCTGCATAGGTCCAATGTGCTGCAGAAACCAAAAGGCTCAACCTGTCACTAGCACAAAGAAGCTGGCTGGCTGCGACAGGAGCCCTGACCCTCCCGTGGGACAAAACAATGGCTTAGCCATCACCTCTGCCTTGGAGGGCTGAAGGAAGGTCAAAGGACTCATAAACAAAGGCGTGCCGAACAGTATGGCTTCTAGACCGCAATGTCGCTGGAGGGGAGCCCTGGAACGCCCACCACCGCCACTCTGGCCCAACTCCTTCCTATTTGACCTTCAAGGTGAAGTTTCTTCTGGGCCACCCACCTAACGCTTGAGGCTGGAAAGGGTGCCCCCATGTCCCCGCAGTGCCCGCACACCCCAGCACAGCAGCACCGCCTCTGCCTTATTGCGGCGTGTTCGCCTTTCTGGAAAGCACAGAGCTCTGCACACAGTAGGGCTCAGCAACTGTTTGCAGAACGTATAAAGAATGAATGGGGGGCCGGGCGCGGTGGCTCTCGCCTGTAATCCTAGCACTCTGGGAGGCCGAGGCGGGCGGATCGATCGAGGTCAGGAGTTCAAAACCAGCCTGAGCAAGAGCGAGACCCCGTCTCTACTAAAAATAGAAAGAAATTAATTGACCAACCAAAAATATATATAGAAAAAATTAGCCGGGCATGGTGGCGCATGCCTGTAGTCCCAGCTACTCGGGAGGCTGAGGCAGGAGGATTGCTTGAGCCCAGGAGTTTGAGGTTGCTGTGAGCTAGGCTGACGCCACGGCACTCACTCTAGCCTGGGCAACAAAGTGAGATTCTGTCTCAAAAAAAAAAAAAAAAAAAGAACTAAAAAATGAGTGGGGATGGAACAGAGGCGTGGGTGAGGACGGGAGAGGAGACGAACTGCTACTGCAGTCTGGAACTAGGAGGCTGGAAAGGGACCTGCTATGGGGGTATGGGTGGATGAGCTGAACCCGGCCCCGTTTGGCAAATCCTGGAGTGAAAGCCACTCCTGAAAGTATGAATGGCCTGAATATAGAACACATTAACTGACATGCTATTTCAGACAAGTGAAAGGCTTCGCAAAGAGATGACATAGTTTTAAAACAAACCAAAAAGGTTCAGATAAGTATGCTCAGCGTAGCTCCCCATTTATGAAATGTCAGCACGGAGTGTCTCATTAGCTCTTGGGAGTGACTCTCTGAAGAGAGAATCAGTAGGCCCTCGACAATGTGTTCTGGAGGCAGAATTCTGGGCTGGGCAGCTGCGGGTCAGTGTAGCAGCTGTCAGAACTTCCCAGAGAGAAGTACTGAACGTCAGGACTCACACAGGAACAATCCGGGGCTGTCACCTGGTGCAGGCCTGACCCAGGGGTGGGCAGCTGTGCACGGCTGGCCCTGGGTACAGGGCTCTCATGGACAAGCCCACACAGCTTTTCAAATGACAGAGGCAGGACCTGGCAGGTCCACGGAAGACACCTGTCATCCTGGACCACCACGATTTCTGCGCTGATAGAATCATCTGGTGTACAGAAAGCACTGTCCTATGTACGTCCCTCACAAGTCCAGTTTTCAAATGAGTAAGGTGAGGAATAATGGTGAAATGATCCCCACACTCGGGGTTGGTTAATGCCAAAAAGCTCTAACGCCCAGATGGGGAATTGTTGTCTAAACCACACGGTATCTCGGCATCCATGGTCATTGAGGGAATCGAGCCCTTGGGGGATGGAGGAGCCACCTCTCTCCGGAGACCCACAGGAAGAGGGTGGTGACGTACCTTTCCGAAGGGTGTGGGGACTCTGGTCTGCGGGCGGCTGGCTGGGGCTGGCAGCCGGCTGTGCCCCTGGCTGCGTCCCTGCACCGCCTGTCCCCTGGCTGGAGCCTGGACTTCCTTTCTGCCCCGACCCTGGAGAGAGTTCCTTGCTTTTTGACGAGCTGAAATACAAGCACACAGACAAAAGAGAACCCCGGAGCTCAGTGGACTTCAGCACCCGCCTTGCCGACTGCAACCCCACGTGCTCTTCTGGGCCTCGTCTGAGTCTGTCCCAGCCCTTGTCTGTCTTGGTCCTTCCTGAAGCCTTCGAAGGTGCCTCGTCAGGTGACTGCCCCTTCTTGGAGCTCTGCTGGCCTCGGTCCGACTCTCATCCCCGTGGCACCTGGTGCTCACTGCCAGCACCCCCCACGCCTCTGCCTTCTGTCCTCAAGGAGACCACGGACTATGAGAGGGCAGGGCCCCGCACATCCCCACTGCATCCTAGCCTGTCGTCGGCATGGGAATTCTAGAACATTCTGAAACGGGAACACCAAGTGTCCTTCTCCCTTCTACAGCCACAGCCCACCAGAGCCAAGAGGACTCGTTAGGTCGGGGTGCCGACGAGGGCTCCTGTCTCGGGCGCAGGCTCTGGCCACAGCTCTGCAGCTCTGGGCTGCTGGCCGTCAGCCTCCTGCACGCGCCCACACGGGGCCGGATCCTGGGACCCGTCTTCAGACGCGGTAACTGGCCCAGCGGACGGTGGGGCTGGCGCAGACCCAGGCTGCGCCCTGAACGAGGGCCAGTTCAGCCCCCGTCCCAGGCTCAGAGAGGGGTGAGGGTCGACGGCAGTGAGGACTCTGGCCCCTAGAACGCCTCGAATGGACAAAGGGACACCCTAGGTCACCAGGTCCCAAACTGGATTCATCCTTACCACTAGGCTCTCTCTCGAGCCTTCTCCAAAGGAGAAAGTACACGTTAGAAGACACCCGACTCGACTCGGCTGGATGGATCAGGGACGGCACACACATGGCACGTTGTCACTCCCTACCACCGCCAACACACCACCCAGGGCAGATGCTACTGTCTCCATAACTCCTCCCCGCCACAGTGTTCTCAGGTAGCCCCTAGTAGTGGGTAGGGCAGGTGCCCTGAAACTGCACTCTGATGCCATGAGGTGGGGCTAGAGAGTCTGGGAACCTAAATCCTCTGCCATGGCCGTTTCTTCCCCCATAAAAGCATTCACAGCCTGTTTCTTCCCTACATGTATCTAGAATCTCCAAATATTAACTTGGAGGAAATACCAATAGGGACATACCCCTCCGGCCCACCGAGGGGAGAGAGAGGGAGCAGGGAACTGGGCTGGACCAGCGCACTGCACCAGAGCACAGGTTGAGGCTGGGAGCCGTGGCTCAAGCCTGTGATCCCAGCACTCTGGGAGGCCGAGGCAGGAGGCTCACCTGAGCTCAGGAGTTTGAGACCAGCCTGAGCAAGAGCGAGACCCTGTCTCTAAAATAATAACAATGCTAATAAAATAAAAGCACAAGTCGACTGCCCTGTGGGGAGGAGTAAAGGAAAGACCACGTTCCAGGCGGGAGGACATTCTCTCCCTCTCAGGATGAGTTTTATGCTACACCTAGGCAATTCTCCAAGGGAAAGAAGCAGCTTTACCCAGAGGAACCAGAAGAGCAACAATTCCTTTCTCTATTCTGCTAATGAAAAATGAAAACAAAACGAGAAAACCCTTGCCTCACTCCGCTGGACAAAGACTTGTCTTCCGTTCATCACCGGCTCAAGGTCACCAGGCACCCAGGCATTCCTGCCAAACATCTGCCTACCTTCCCATCCAGCTCTGCCACCACCAAAAAGGAGGTCAAACAATCCCAAAAAACACGAAACAAATTAGAACACTGCTTCTTCTGGGGTGACAGAGTCTTCTTTCCTTCCTTTGGACAGACAAGACATCCATCCAGGGAGTCTAGGGATGAGCTCTTCCTTCTGCTCCCTCCCGCCTGCATCAGCTTCCCCAGCACAGAAACGAGTATTTACCTACTTAGCCTGGTCCTCTCTCGCCAGCACAGGTGCGGCTGACCCAAGGGGGACAGGTGGGGTGTGGGGTGGTTATTGGGAGCGCTAGATGGAGGAGGCGCGGTTAAGGCACAGGTGAGGACAGGTTAGTTCTGGGGCTGAGTGGCTCAGGGAGTGAGCTGGGTGCCAAGAAGCAGGAAGCAGAGTTTAGAGATCGTGTTAATGCTAAGCAGTTGAGCAGGAGGCGGAGGCGGAGCCCAGCTGGACCGCCAGGCCTGGCAGGGAAGGAGCTGAAGGTGGGGCCTGGGGTGGGGGGAGGAAGGTGGGGCGAGTCAGAGGGAAGGGAGGGCCTGCCATCCTCAGGGGAGGGGGAGCCGTAACAGGAATCCGGCCACTGGAGCAAACATCATCTGTGCTGCAAATGTCCAGGAAACAGAAAACAAACAAACAAACAAAAACAATGGAACACCCGTTTGTATTGGGGAAAATCCACGTGGACAGAGAAAAAGTGGTGTACAACAAATAAGAACACTCACACCCAAAAGAAGCTACAAAGCCAGTCAACCCGGGCGAAAGGGGAGGAAAGACATATGGCTGCAGAGCAATGTGACTGACCTTTTCAATAATCTGAGCCAGTGGGTGACGTCCCTGCCCGTGGGTGACTCTGCAAGATCACCCATCCATAATATTCCTGCAACACCTTCAGAGCCTGGGGGAATCCATCTTCAAGGGGCATTTTTTAGAAATGTCATTTATATGCCAAATGCCATATGACACCAAGTCTCCTTTATAAGGTGGAAAATCAGGACGAAGCCCATAAGTGTCCTAAAAGGGAACCATCCCAGCCAGTCTCCTGTGAGTCCTTTTCCTCCTTGTCAGCCACACTGGCCCACCATGCCTGGGCTCTGCTTCTGCACTGAACTCACTCTGCCTGCTACCGTGTCTCCCAAGTTCACCTGAGGCCCACAAGTGCACGGCCAGGGTCGCATCCCCTCTGAGCTAAAGCCATCAGCAGCAACCTCAGAACCCCCAGCGTCATCCCCCCCCCCAACTCCCAAGCTCTAAGACTGCCCGCTCTTCCCAATTTCACAGTGAAAATACCTTCTACTTATTAAATAAACTTTTAAAAAGCCTGCCCTCCTCCTCTTTAGAGGGTCGGTGTGGGCCATCGTGTGTCTGTGTGTTGGTGGTGACGGTGCGTGAGGGCGTGTGAGGATGCGTGTGTTCCCTGAAAGACTTAGGTTGGAAGGTTCGGCTTCCCAAAGTCTCCAAAACGTTTCCGGTGTGGAGTGGCCATGCAGGAATGACTCGCCCCTGGCAGAAGGCACCGCAGCATCTGATTTTCAAGTAGCTTTTCTAGTTTACTGAATGGCTGTTTGAGAGTAGACAGAAACACACAGCACAGTTGTTTCCTGGTGCCGTTCCCACTTCCAGGATCCCCCTGGAATCCTGGAATCCCCCTGACGGAGCGCTGTCATTACTTGTCAGCGCCGGTTCACTCTCAGAACGTGAACTCCTTAAGGGGAGTGACTGTTTTGTCTTTGGTCAGAGAAAGTTTTCTGTTAATGTTCACAAGCTAGCCATGGAATGGACTGTCTCTGTCTCTGTCTCTCTTTCTCTCTCTCTCTCTCTCCCCTATCCCTAAAAGAACGCAATGCACCCACGCAGCAGGCGCCAAAGGCCCCAGGCCCTGAGTGGCTCCTTCGCTCCTGCCCATTTCAGCAGCAAAAACGGCCGCTGTAAATCTAAAGAGGAGAAAGCAGAGAAACACTGAAACCCTAAATTTCAAACTGGTGTGCAGTGGCCACCCCTTTACCTGTGGTTTCCCTTTCTGCCATTTCAGTTACCTACGGTCGACTGTGGTCTGTGAAATAGGAGAGAACAGTACAAAAAGCTATTTTGAGAGAAAGACCACATTTGTGTGGCTTTTTGTTACAGCACAGTGTCATAACTGCTCTAATTTATTTTTAGCTATTGTTAAGGTCTTACTTTGCCTGACTTATAAATTAAACTTGATCACAGGTATGTGGGTATGGGGAAAAACACGGTACATGTAGAGTTGGGTGCTATTGGCGGTTTCAGGCATGCCCCGGGGCCTTGGAACGGAGGAGGGGGACCACTGGCACTAGGAAGGCAGAGGAAGGGGAAACAGCTGGGATGTACAATTCCTCCCGGCTTTGGCAAGCTGTCCCCTGTGTGTTTGCTTGGGGTTGCTGTTCTTGCGAAGCCTGGGCTTTTATGGGGACCCAGGGAGCTGCGGGGTCCTAACTCGGTGCCAGCGCGATGCAGACAGCCACACGTGGATGCTGGGATTGCGGGGTGGCAGTGACCCGCCCCGAGGTTGAGTGCAGCAAGCCCAGACACCCGCACCCGCGCACGGCGGCGGCCGCTTACCTGGCGCGCTCGGGCCCGGGCTGCAGGCCCGCGGCGGCCGGGGAGAGCGCGGGCGGCGCGGGGCTGTCCGGGGGCTGCTCCGGCAGCGGCGACGGCAGCGACGGCAGGGGGGCGGCCAGCTCTGCGGGTGGCGGCGCGGGCGGCTGCATGGCGGGCGGGGCGCAGGACGCTTTCCGGCCGGCTGAGGAGCCTCTTCGGGCCACCCAAGAGGTGTCCATGACCCTCACACCCATGCTGGCGAGGGACACAAAGACACCTGCTTACCCATGCATGACAGGCGACACGGGCGAGGCTCCCCCCACCCCACGAAGCGGAAACATGTAAGCGAGTCCGAGTCAGGAGGCAGCAGCGCAGCCTAGCACCCGGCGGGAAGCGACGCGCTGGGCTGTGCTCGGGTGCCCGGGGTGGCCCGGGCAGCCCTGTCGCCCGGCAGGGAGCAGGGCACAGTCGCAGCACGCTGGCGTCCGCAAGCTGCGCGTCAACCCTCTGCCAAAGCCAGCTGGCCTTAGGATGATGGCCCGACAAGCTCCCTGGGAGAATCCAAGCCTTCCTCCTTCCTGAACTGGCCTAGCTGGGGGCGGGGGGTGGGGGGCGCTCACTCCTCCCCAGTGCAGGGCAGGAACGGGGGCGGCACTGAACACGGAAGTGACCAGCAGGTGACAACTAAACGTACATCCTTGTGAGGTGGGCTCTGTCTAGCTCCAGGTCCACTACTGCTGGGGACCCTGGCCAAGTCACATCTCTACAGGCCACTCCCTCTTGTCTACACAGCAGGGAGGGGGCTGCTAACCCTACGGTCCCTCTGGGCTCAGATGCTATTTTCATGATGGGCACAGAGCTTCAAATAAGTTGGCCAAGCAACCAAACACGGAGCATTCACCCTCTCACGGAGCTCACTACGACGCATAGCTGGCTTAGTTTACGAGACTGAAATGGCCTCATAGCTACCAGAGGATACCGTACCTTTGGATTTTCCTAAGGCTGCAGGGACAGAAACATACAGATATTAGTGTCAAAAAAAAAAATCTACACTTTCCTTTGGATACAAAGGTTGTCTTTCTGCAAGGGGCCTCCTTCCATGGTTGGGGTCGTGGGGTGGGGTTTTCACTGTACTATCACATTGCTACCAATCGAGTTGGTCTCTAGTTAAAGTGACTGTCCTTTTTATGTGGGTGAAACGCATACCCTCCCCAGCACGCAGGTAAATACAGAAGGCAGCTGGAGTTGCTGTTGGTGTGGTGTGGGGACGGGGAGGCAGAAGGGAGAGAGAAATTGGTAGAAGTAACCATCTGCTCATTTCTAAATTATGCGGACTCAGGAGGAGATGGGCTCCTCTGGTCTAGGAGGTACTGGTACAGTGGGCCTTAGTCGAGGGCTTCATGGACTAAGAAGATCTCACATTTCTAGTATTAAGGGAGACATGGACATTCGTGCAGGGAGAAAACATTCACCTCCGGCCAGCATTTGTCTCGATCGCTTACGTGCAGAGCGGGGCGGGGGCATGAGGGCTGTCACACGCTCACTCTCTCACTTTTTCCCTACCAAGTGGTCACCCACGCTGGTCAGAGGCAGAAAGCTATTACATCATGAAACCCTGCCCACTTGTAAAAGGACACATTTACCTTGTAGAAGTGCAGCAAGATTTTAAAAAAGAAAAAGGTTCAAGCATGGAGATTTGGTTGTAGCGGGTGGGATTTGGGTCCTTGAAGGAAATGGGGCATGGGAGGGAGCCTGCAGTGAGGACTGAGGAGGGGAAGAGTGACGCAGACATGGGATAGGACAGCTTCCGGACACCCCTCCTCCCTATGATCACCAGGGACTGGTCCACGTCTAGTGCCACCGTTGGCATTTCTCATGGTCCCTGGATGGCTTCAAGAAGTCGCCTGGGATGGGGAAGGGGCAAGGATGTGTCTTCCCTGGACCCACTAGCTTCCAAGTCACCTTGGGTCTGAGAACCCTCTGCCAATAAATAAGTGCCTTTTATAGGATGTCCAGAGATGCTCTTGGAGGCCACTTAAGACTGAGGCAGCGTCCAGCTGTACCCCCTGGTATTTAACGCGGGCTGCAGGGGATTATCAAACTATGCTCTCCAGGCTTCAGAATTTATCAGCATGGAAAGAACGAAAAGCTCAACATTCTACCTGGGGAAGGGAACTGACAGCCCTGAGTTGCAGGGGTCGGCGAGGATGGCAGGCATGCAAGATGTTTCTTGTGGCGATCAGCGAAAGGAGCCCTAAAGGATGCAAGTCCCCCAAGTCTGCTCTTCCTTGCCCTATTCTACTTGGAAAGACCTACCCCACCCTGGGGGATGCCTTCTATTCCCAACGGCAGCAACTTCAGACATCAACCAGGCTCTCTGGTGATCTTCACCTGGTCTAAGGGAAGGGACCAGCTTGGGCATAGGGTAGGTACTGAGCGAGGCCTGCTAAACATCGCTGGCAAAATGTCAGCAACTAAGAAACACCAGCTGAATGCACTACTTCTGGCTTTATAAAGAGATGGCGGTGCTGTGGGTAATCAGCACTTTCCCGGCTGAAATGACTTTCTTACGCGCGTGCAGCGTCGCATGTTCACAGGGCACGTGCACTGGATGTTCACGGGCATTTAGAACAGTAACACAGATCTGTACAGAGTGAACCGATCACGAAGGCAGCAGCAATGCTCTTGGAGGCCTAAAGTACATTTACCTTCTGAAGCAAACTGGTATATTTCAATGCTCCAATGTCTAGATAAAACTCGACCCAAAGACAGAAATTGTACAACTGCTCAATACGCTGCCAAGAAGGGGACGCCAATGACAGATGGGGGGGGGGATCCAATCAGAAAGTCACATCAGCAGTTCACACATTTCTGTTCATTGTTTCATCACACAAAGAAGCAACGGTGGCCAGAATCAAAGAACCGCCTGTGTTTCTTAAGAAAGGAACAAAACGGAAGTGGAATTAATTAAAAGCAATTGACTCTAGCAGACATCACTGCATGGAAACCTAAGGCCAGTCTGGATGCCAGAGATTGCACACGGCCCAGCACTTCTGGTAAAAACCGGGAGCAACTTGGTTTCCAGATCCCTAAGTGAAGGCAGGAAGCCAGAGGCCAGGAAAGATCTCTGAGCAGCAAAGAGTTTAGAAATCAGTAAGCAGGAGGCACCTGGCAGAGTCCAGGAGTCACCCCCAGGGTGGCCTTTCTTCTGGCTTTTCTACGCCTTCTGGTGGCAGGAGGCAGGCAGCATGTAGAATCTGGGAGTCTCCCACTACTGTCTCAGGGTAAGGAGACAAGGAACAGGGAATCCCGAGTTGTCCTTGCTCATCACTGGGGTTCATAGGGGGTGTGTGTGTGTCACGTCTTCACTTTGGCAAGGTAGCCCCACTGAAGTCCAGTCTGCCCAGCTTCACTCCTCCCTGCCTACCAGCACCTTATATTAGTGTGGCACTTATCATAATGCACACTTGTGTGTTTTTCATAAGACTGTATCACAGAATAGGTTCTGGAATGATTCAGGCTTCTAGTCCCAGTTCACTGACTTGGTAGAGCTCTCTCCTCTGCAGAATGAGGCTAATCCCTCCCTTCCCACTTCCAACATTTCCACGAGGGTAATTTACCAGTTATTGATTCTAATATATGTCTAGCATGCCCTTGCACCACGACCTGGCTGCAGAAGCTGAGTGGTCACCCCGTGGGTTGTAGTGGGGTGTGAGAGAAGGAAACAACAGATGTGTCCAGAAAGAGGTCTGGCTAGCTAAACAAATTGTGTTTTATGGGGCTGACAGGGTGGAGGCTCAGAGAATCAGGTGACATCTTGATGGAAAAATATAAAGGCCAGTGCCTGGTTTGTGGAGTTTGTGTGTAATGTGGTGATTTGACCCCCTTTCCTGCTCAGCACAGCACAATGGGCTTCAGAGGCAGAGAATTTGGGCTTGGATCCCTGATTTTCCAATTACTAACTGTATGCGATGGAAGTTATTCTCTGATTACTCTCTGTAAAATGAAAGTAATAACATCTGTTTCCCTTAGGGTTGTTGTAAGGAATCAGTAGAATTACACGCACAACCTCCTTAGCCCTTACTAAGAAATCAGTAACGGCCGGGCGCGCTGGCTCACGCCTGTAATCCTAGCACTCTGGAAGGCCTCGGCAGGCAGATGGCTCGAGGTCAGGAGTTCGAAACCAGCCTGAGCAAGAGCGAGACCCCCGTCTCTACTATGAATAAAAACAAATTAATTGGCCAACTAATATATATAGAAAAAATTGGCCGGGCATGGTGGCGCATGCCTGTAGTCCCAGCTACTTGGGAGGCTGAGGCAGAAGGATTGCTTGATCCCAGGAGTGTGAGGTTGCTGTGAGCTAGGCTGATGCCACGGCACTCACTCTAGCCTGGGCAACAAAGTGAGACTCTGTCTCTAAATAAATAAATAAATCAGTAAGTAGTGGTGTCAACAATAGTGCTTTGTTCTTACATGTGACAAGTACTTTTTATTTTTTTAAAAATCCACTTGGAGAAAGAAATAGAGTGAACTGAAGTGTAAACTATGTTGATGAAAGGGAAAAAGGATACTCTGTCCATGAATCAGATACAGCATGAGGAGCTGGAGATGCTAGAAAGACCCAATTTGGGTTGTCACCTTGGTGTAGAGGGTCTGCCATCAGATGTCTTCCCTAACATTGGCCCTAAACATCAAAAGATTCTGGGGTGGGTTCTCTGGTAGAAGTAGAAGAGGGAACAAAGAACCAGGAGTAGAAATAAGTTATCAGTCCCTCTCCCTAAGTTGCCTTGGTCTTGCAGGGCTCTGGTGAGTTGGATGGGCCGATATGGGTTTCAGAGGGGATGCCCAAAGCCCATTCTGATGACCCTAGGCTTATGGAACAGAAAAAGTAAAGGGAGCGGGTCCTCACAACCCTTCTTACTGCCTGGCCTAGGTCGTTGGAGCAGCAAAGGAGGCAGGAATCAGGGTCGCCTTGGCTGAAAGGATCTTTGGAAAACAAACTGTGCTGTCTACAGGAGACCCAGCCAGGAATGGCCACAAATCCTGCCTACAGGGAGCATCCCATGCCCTGGGAGCCTCTGCAACCTTCAGCTGTCTTGGCCAGTCTCTTTTGGTTTTAGTAGATTTTGTGTTGCAGAATTAGTTCAATTGCTCATGACAAGTTGAAGACAGATAAATACATTCAAGCACCTGAGGTGGCAAAGAATCTTTTACCAGATGCCACAACAGTGGAAAAGTAGGCCCAGCCATGTTGT